TATTTAATTTAAAGTTACTTTGTTTTATTGCATATCAAATATTTTTACTCACCTGCCTCGAAGTGTCTGTAATGCTATGCTTAGATATCGTACGTTAGTAGTCTATCAACTATTTTTATGTATCACCTATGCCAAGTAGTCTTAATATTTGACCAGCAGATACATTGAACGGTTGCGGAACACTTGACTTACTTTTAAGGTAACTGTGGTCTTACATGTTAAACGTTTCAAACAACATTATATAACAAAAACAATTGTGTATGCTATAAAGACCAGAAGTGCGTTTATTTATATGGACATAACCTTGAAAATTTAGTCCAATAGTCAAAGCATAGAAACAAGTAGTCATAAAATGTCATTTTTATATGTTTTAGAGGTTTAGATCGACTTTCGGTAAAAAGCAATAATTATATTATAATATATAAATAAATAAATTGATAGATAAATCAATCAATCAATATTAGTATGTTGTACATTGAACTACTACTCATTTGATATCATGATATAGATTTGGTACATAATATGTATTATGTAGGGTTTGTCAACGGTTAGTCGGTTAACCGGTTACTTGGACGAAACCACGAACCGGTTACCAAAATCCTTAACCGAAAAGTCGGACATTTACTTACCCGTTTTGGGAGCCACATGTTTCCCTAGCTTAGACCTACACAATATCTGCATTTGTATAGATGCGACCAAATTCGGATAGTTTTGTAATAGAAACAGTGTTCAGGGATGACATGTTAGTTTTCATTTTGTACTCTGTTGTAAATACTGACAAAGAGATGTCGCCAACACCATAAAAAAATCTGTACAGATTTTAAAAGGAAGCCAGAATACAAAGAGATAAAACGCGCCTTTGCATGCGAGATGTAAAGATAATCTGAAGAGTACACTCTTGAAAGAGCTAGCATGTCTTAAAACGTTTGTCAAGAAAATTTTGTTCTAAAAAATAATATTATCGCATATGATTTCGAGTACAGATAACTGTAATTGAACCCGTGTTACTGCATTCCGACATTCGTTGTCCATGAAACATACTTACTGAGGTTACATGCAACTATTTCCTGTGTTAACCTTGAAATACACGAGTAAACTATCATGCTAATTAATATACGTTTTAGATAGAGCATTTTCCTAACATATAATGTATTTGTTGATATTTCTTATTTGACTACCAAAAAGACCGATTAACCGGTTACTCGATCGGTAGATTGTTCGAGTAACCGGTTACAAAAATGAGATAACCCTAGTATCATGGCATTGCGATCATTTTATGATGCATCACTTGCGACTACCGGGTTAGTTTTGGCACCTTATGGTGTAACGGTTCCTGTTACGAGTAGATATTGTTATACTTTATAATACAAAAAGGAAATGTGTGTACCCTTCCAGAGCAATGATTTCACATCTGCTTTAGTAAGTTCATGATGTAAAGAAAATCGTGTCCTCTGTTCCTTTGGCCAAAGAAAGGTGTCCTTTGTTAGATATGACTTGCATACTATTTTATATACGGTATATCTCGCGCAAATTGGCTTTAAATAAATAATTAACAACATTTATATAGCGCCCTATATAATTTGTAAAAATAATTTAAAGCGCTTTACAACATATGGATAATAGTATTAGTTATAATTGGGAAACAAAAACAAAGGTTTACATTAACTTTTACACATTAAGCAAGCAGATAATCATCGCAATGTGCACATTTACATGAAGTCTTTGCAAAGAGCCTAAATTCAGACAATAAGAGGTGAGTTTTGATGTCTTTCTTTAATTTGGCCAGGATATTTGGCTTTCTAATAGCAGATGGTAAGCAATTCCACAACGTGGCCGAAACCCTCCCAAAGCTCCGGTTTCCATAGGTCACAGTACGAGATTTTGGGACACACAACAATGATTCTGACTCTGACCGCAGTGATCGTGACGGCTGATACAGGGTAACAAGCTCATGTAGGTACTGGGGAGCTATTCCATTCAGTGCCTTGTATGTGTACACCAACATGTTGTACTGCGATCTGTATCGCTCAGGCAACCAGTTAAATGAATATAGCACAGATGTGATTTGCTCTCTCTTTTGAGTACGAGTAACCAGTCGTGCTGCTGTGTGCTGGATTCTCTGCAGACGACTAGTTAGTTTGTCAGATATACCACAGAGCATGGCGTTACCATAATCCAACCAGGAGGTAACAAGTTAATGCACCAAACTATTGCATGCATCTGCAGTTAGAAACTGTCGGATACAGACGATGTTCCTGATATGGTTGTAACAGGATTTTGGAATAGCGTTCATTTGTTTCTCCATGTTCAGTAAACTATCAAAGTATACCCCTAGGTTTTTAACAGCTGGGACAGTCTCAATAGTTCTGGCACCGACCTTGAGCTGGACAGCCATTGTTTGGGGAAAGACGATTAGTTTCATCTTTTCCTGAGTAAGCTTTAGCATGTTGGCGTTTATCCAGGTACTGACATATGTCAGACAAGCTTTCAGATTTTCTGAAATTGTATCCCAACTGATCTAACATGTGCCTTCTTGAAACGCAATGGAACCTTTGATTCAGCCAATGATTTGTTCATGATTGAGGTAATCAAAGGAAGCGGTGCTTCAATACATTGCTTTAATAGGTCTGTAGGAATTGGATCAAGCTCACGGGACTTCGATTGCGAGGTCATGATGATATCGCGCAGTTCGTCCTGTGTTGTTGGTGAGAGCTTTGTCAATGGTTCCCCATCAAATCTAATGTCAGCAGTCATGACAGAGATAGCATTGTCAACAGTAGAGTTCACTTCCGATTTAATTTTCCTGGTCGAGCTAACTTTATCTAGAAAGTAATCACTGAACTTGTTTGACAAATCTTTTTCAGAATTACAGCTTGGTAGGATAATTTCACCTTTCTGGCCAATTAGGTTTTTGATGAGTCTAAAAAGCTGTCTATGGTCCTTACCACTTTCTTCAATTCCTTCCGGGTGAGAAATCGTGCTTGGTGACGAAATGTGTCACCTATGCCCATATTTTTTGTACGATTTATCACTCGTGTGAGAAATCGTGCAGGGGTGAGAACTCGTGTTGCGCACGCAGCACTTTTAGCACGATGTCTCACCGGGGTGAGAAGTCGTGACTGGGTGCGAAATCGTGCCGCAACATACCGTATTTACAGAACAATACACTGGCGTACAGTATGATAGTACATTATAACACAACATAAAACATGTACATTATGAAAAGTAATCTAACATGTCATTGACATTGATCTTACTTCATATTACAATGATAGACACAATATTCTAATTCAGTTAGATGCAACAACACACATCAAAACAATACAGTATATTACTATCCAATACAGTATAATATAGCACATCACAAGTTGATATCATACACTGTACATCGTAACCGTACGTAGTATATAGTGTGTATAATAGTTTACAATATGATATATTATCCTACATTATAACTACTGATAGCACAGTAAATTACAGTAAGATGCACTAATATAGAACTCAACAGTGTTTCAAAAGTTCAAAAGAATAAAATTCATGTAAACCCGTATCTGAAGTGTTCCGAAACAAGAATATACATACAGGGGTTGGGGACAGATGCCTGTAACACTAATAACGTAACAAATTTACAACCTTTGATACAACAGATAATGAATATTGAAATCAATTAAACCATGTCAAAATATTTTCTACGTGTAATAATAATAATAATGATAATAATTCGAGGTTCTTATATACCGCTTTATCACAACCTAGTTCGTAGGTCGTCTCAAAGCGGTTCACAAATTATTATCCGTGGTAATACGGCCATTGAATCCAGCAAATATCTTTCTCAACTCCCTGGGGAGCATCCAGCCAGTGCTGCCATTTCAGCGCTCACAGCTAGCACAATTCTAGCACCGCCCAACCACATACTCATTTACAGCTGAGTGTACTGGAGCAAGCGGAGTAAAGTGTATCTTGCTCAAATATACCACACAGTGCCGTGCCGCGACTCGAACCCGCAACCCTTCGGTCACGAGCCCGGCGTCCTACCACTTGACTACCGTGCCTCCGTACAAGGTTTCGGACAACTTTGGGGACTGATAGTCCACTAGCAGATTTAAACACCTTCTGATATGAAATAAAATGCAAAGACGAAATCACCTATTTGGTTTGGTGCATAGAGCTAAATAAAGTTGATATTTGTAAAGCACTAGTGACATTTTAGGTAAAAAACTAATATTTCCTATTTATGATACATGTGAAGACACTTCAGCAAACGATGGAGCAAATATGTGTGCAGGAACCATGTCGTGTGTTTATGGCTCCGTTTCCTATTATCAGACGCCATTCGGGAATAATCGTCAAAGTTTGAATATATATGTCATTATGCTATTGGTCTTCGTTTACTAGAACAGTATGACGGAAATACCCGAACTGTTCCACATTGGATAAAACCCACGTGGCATAATTTGAAATGTTATGCTTTAATGTAGCTGCTTATTTTAGAGGTTCTACAACGTAAAACGTCAATGTTAACAAAACAAAATATTTTGACTCAATAGTATAACAAACATGTCACATTATCACCACAGTTTCCTACAAATGTTTCCTCGTAATCACAAGATTAGGTCAACTTACCGTCTCTGCAACCCTGAAAATATGTCACGACATTATCGAAGACACGTGGTTAGCTATGTGATCGATTTCAGGTAAAACAATGACAAAACGCTAACCGTTAAAGATCACAGGAAAGCGAAAACGGACTTCAAAGTCGGACAATTCTACCGTTATGCTGCCGCGAGATTCCTTTAAGGTATATCAAAGGATCGAATGTGTCTACTTGAATCATCCACACTCTGGCACGAACAGAATCTTCGATTTCGTCATGACAAATTCAGGGAAGTAAAAAAAACGTAAGGCAGTTTGAGGATGACAACAATATTGATATGAAAGTAATTTTTAACAAATAACAGATTAGTAGGATGTCAATTTCATTTCTATTTCCTTTTTTTTAGAAAGCTGGATTTAAAAATGTGGTAGTGCTTGAAAAGTCGGGAGATGTTGGTGGTAAATCGCGAACGATATACCACCGAGGTGTTCCACATGAGATGGGGACGTGTTACACGCATCCAGACTACGAAGAAATATACGAACTGATCCGTGAACATGACGCGGGGGACATTCTTCCCATGCCTAGCCCGAGTATGTGGGTAGATACTCCGAGGGGTAAAGGTAAGTAGTAACCTAAAACGTAGTTGTAGGTTGTAGGTTGTGGGGGAGAGTGTGTAACGGGAGTGTGAGGAAAAAAGAGGGTTGACTGCGTTTGGAAGATAAGGATATACTTGCATGTTTAGCCATTATCCAGAGATACGAATACAATGTTCGTTTAACCAATTGCCGTATGAGAGCTATAGTATTAGTAAATATGAAGGGTTGAAAATGCGTATCGAAGTCTTAATAGGTAGTTTTATATAATCTGGCGTGTGGAAAACTTATATATGGTTCTAGATATTTTGCAATGTTGAAGGCACGTTGAAGACTTTACAGGTGGTCTTAGATACTCTGCAATGTTGAAGGCATGTTGAAGACTTTACAGGTGGTCTTAGATACTCTGCAATGTTGAAGGCATGTTGAACACTTTACAGTTGGTTTTAGATACTCTACAATGTTGAAGGCACGTTGAAGACTTTACAGGTGGTTTTAGATACTCTGCAATGTTGAAGGCATGTTGAACACTTTACAGGTGGTCTTAGATACTCTGCAATGTTGAAGGCATGTTGAAGGCTTACCATGTGGTAATACTAAGATTCGCATTGTTGAAGCCCCGTTGAATACTAAACTGTTGAAGGCATGCTGAAGACTTAACATATGGTTTTAGATACTCCGGAGTGTTAAATGCATGTTGAAGACTGAACAGGTTGGTTTGCGATACTCTTGCAGATAGACGGCATGCTGAAGACTTACTTATGTGTGTTTGCAGACCATCCGCAAAGTTGCCTGAATTATCAGTAAAAAAAGTCGTGTTGGAATCTTAAATTGCGGCATTTTTATTCACTTTTTTTTCATTTTTTCATTATTTTATTTATTTTCTAGTGCCTCTGACTTCATCCCAGTACTACGCAATAGAAGCCCGTAAGATAAAGCCAGACATGGCGAATGGCACCGAGGGCTTATTTTTCCAGGCAGCTATCCAGAAATACATTAAACTACATACATCATTATTTGGCCAATACGAGGGAATGTTAATGCCACGCCCAGATCGGGCGAAACTTGCTGCTACAAACATGACATTTGTCGAGTTCTTACGTAAGCATGACATCGAAATTTTAAAGGCAATATTTTTGCCTGCTGCTACAATGCAAGGCTATGGTCATGTAGATGAGGTATCCGACGTGTATGCAATGATGTGGTTAACGCCAAACTTCCTTACAAACTTGCTACGAAGGGATGAAAATGGGGAAAGTAATATCAAAATTCTCAGTAAAGGATTTCAATTTCTATGGCAGGAGATGAGAAGACAAAACAACCTCGATGTCAGACTGAATAGTCCAGTACTTGGAATCGTACGATCAAAACGAGGCTTCATTCTGATCTATAGAGATTGCAATTTCTGGCGTTTTGAACATTTTGACTTTCTCATATTGACTCCTTTTATGAAATCATTGTCGAATGTAATTCAATTTAACCGGGAGGAAAATTCTCTATTTCAAACCTCATTTCACTACTATTTCATGGCAACTTTGGCTGACACCACTTATGGTAGACGAAGTGAAACTCCTACAGGTTACTTCGCCAACAACATCAAAAGCAAGATTGACAACCTTGTTTGGGGGTTTCGAGACTCGTATGCTTCGTTAAATAATATCATTGGTGCTAACTATTCAAGCGGAATATTTCCAGGAGGAACTGATGGTAAAAAATTGCAATCGTCAATCTATTACCAGATGCTGCAGGCAAGGCCTGTTAGGGCAATTGCTGAACAAATGCTACGCGATCACGTCAACAGAGTGGAACAAGCTCAGGTAGTTGGAGTGCAGAAGCAAATAGTTTGGGATTACTTCGCAAGGTACCCCGTCCCGGATATAGCTAATGGAATATTATGGGATATATTAGACATACAGGGAAAGTATGGAATATGGTATATCGGTTCCTCCGTATCCTTTGAATCTCTTACTGCAGTTGTTGGCTACAATAATCTGCTTTTGAAACGTATGGACCTACCCAAAATGTAATGTTGTTCTTCAGGTCAATTGACATTTCTTTAGCAATTTCGACAAGTATATATCTAAAAACGTGTATTCTGGTTGGATTGGCAATTATAGAAATACGAATTAATAAAAATGTATCAGATTAACAAATGGAGGCATTAGATTACAACAGGGATATGGCAGTAGCAAGTCTTGACTAGCTTAAAATTAGCTTGAGTTTCATCTGGCCCTAACACCAGACTTAGACATTGTGACATATACATGTCAGTTGTTGGGCCAGAGCGCACTCCTATATGAAAACCTGGAATTCTCCGACACCGTTTTGTATCGGAGAGTTATGAGGTGCTGACAACAAAAATCTACTAGGAAATAACACACATATCGATAACTGGATTATTTATTTATCAAAGTCCACTTTTAGTATCACCAACAGCTCTTAAATTCCGTCAGTAGATTCGTGGCCTTTAAATCTTTCAAAATTTTCCACCTTAGGGAACGCGATTTTGTAGTTCATGGGCGTGACTAATCAACAAACCGTACTGATCCGGGCCGAAAACAGAATTATTGAAGAAGATTCCCGGACTGCGTCTTTTCTTTATTAGTCACTCCCCGATTCCAAACGGTGTCGGAGAATTCCACGTTTTCTGATAGGAGTGCGCTGTGGCCTCACACCAGACATCTCTATGTCAAAATGTCTAAGTCTGGTGTTAGGGCCAGAGGAAACTCGGGCAAACTTAAAATATGCGGGGATACATGTATACTGTGTGTGCATTGCCGTACCGCACAGTACGTAACACTCGCCATAGCTATGTGTGTTTGAGGTTATGATAGAAAATGTGCATCCTTGTATCATTGTGGCTATCAGCAAAACTGCTACAATGGTTAAAATGAATGCCTATTACAGAAACAATTTAGACAATACTGCCTCAGGACTACGGATGATGGTATTCGTATATATGTTTGCGAGGGAAGAGATTCTATCATCGGCCTTTTTAACCTTTAAAAGAAAGACATATCAAAGCTAATTGTTCGATTAATATGAGGGCGCATGAATATACTAATTTCATTTATCAGTTACCCTGGATTGTCAGTTTGGTTACAAAGGTAGCAAGCCCGCCCATTGGATATTCATGCAAAACCTCTGTTCATATATTTTAAAAGTATCTACTAACTTACAAAAGAGACCTTGTCATTACTTCTGCAACGTGTTCCTCCGTTTGAAAGCAACTGTTCTTTTATCAGTTATTCTTCGGGGTTTTTTTGCAAAATTGGTTTAGAAATGTTCATCAAATTACACCCCATCAGTGTTTGAAATAATTCAAGAAGGACATGTTACAGTTTGAAACTCTATTGTGTGTCTCCTTGGCAACGTGTCGAGTGTTGACCGACTTTTTTTAAGTGAAAATAAAGAGGTACATATGTTCAGTGATTATTACCAAATTTACGTTTGCAAAACTCGTAACATATTTACAGTATATTTGTGTGTGTACATGCATAAATCACATATCACTCGTTTGCTGTTTGTTTTTTTATAAATGTCTAGATATGGTCATGAAAGCAGAAACCAACGCTTGATCACGAGTTATTATCGCACTATTCAAGAACAGACTATAACGAAAACCGAAGAAGAATTACAGCACGATAAATCGCGATGTTCTGCGACATAATACGGATCCACACGACTTTGAGCGGTAAAGTGTTACCTAGTAAGACAATTTCGATGCATTGCATATATAATGCGGTAAATAAACATATAAAATGTATTCAGTTCATAACAATATTACGTTAATCACTCGTCTTGGCCTGCATTGAAACGCCCAAGTGGGTCTAAATGAAGGAGAAAATCGGAGAAAACCCATGTAGTCGGGCTTGAAACCCGATACCTTTTTCGTGCGATCGTGGTGTCTAACTCAAGCCGTATTGGTAAAAGGCATGCATACCATGTTATACATCACCCAGTCCTTTGCATGACCTAATTTGGTAACACACGACTTAGTACGACGACTGTACGACAAATACTGAACATAAAAAACTTACAATTCATAAATTGCTTAAAAGTACGAATCATAGTACGGGTATATACATTTAACGGAGATAATTATTTCGTAGTAGTTAAAGTAGAACAATGTCAACGGTATGACAAAGCTATATTGAGAGTGTAATTTACCTATTGTTCCCTAGGGTGTACCTGTTTCTGATATACCGGGCTAAGCTTTTTACATCCCACAATAGCCTTTCTTTTATTTTGCAGTCTATTCACTGTAATGGGACGATAGTGAGTATATACTCAGTATTATATTTGTGATATGTACTTCTATCTTGCCGGGTAGAAACATTTTCAAGATACAATAAAAGCAAATACTGGTTTGTGTTTATTATGTTCAAGAGAATAGATTAGCAATTTATTGATTTTGTGATCATTCGGTGCAGTTTTACAATAACAGGTAACTGTTGAGTGACAGATGAAAAGTATTTCAGTACTTCAGGGATTCCGCCATCTTGTATTAATAATAATAATATTAATTCGTGGTTCTTATATACCGCTTTATCACAACCTTGTTCGTAGGTCATCTCAAAGCGGTTCACAAATTATTATCCGTTTCATTTCAAATATATTTTATTGATTAAACAAAAGGATTGAGCAACAGGCTTTGCCTATATAAGCTCTCTCCATGGCTTCCAGCATACTTTTGATATTTGAATACATTGAATACAATATTTACATACATACATTTTATTTCCACTCATCTCATGACACATGGATACATTTATTGCTAGGTAATATACATTTAATTAGGCTGGCTTAATATTTTCATGTTTCTACAGAAAAAAAAAAATCCTTGGAGAATTTTTTTTTTTTATTTAATATAGTTGTAAAATTTGTGTCAAGAAGAATTAAATATACCGTTATGAATATACACAGTATTCAAATCGAATTAAATATATGGATTACGTCTTGACCTTGAGCAACTTAAATTTGCTAAAATTATTATCCGTGGTTATATGGCCTTTGCAAGCAGCCAATATCTTTCTCAACTCCCTGGGAAGTACAGTTAGTGCTGCTATTTCGGCGATCACAGCTAGCATTCAACAATTCTAGCACTGCCCAACAACGTACTCATTTACATATGAGTAGACTAGTACTGGAACAAGCGGAGTAAAGTATCTTGCTCAAAGAACCCGCAACCCTTCGGTCACGAGCCCAGCATCCTTCATGTACCACTAGACTACCGTTCTTCTAGACTATAAGGTACATTGTAACAGCATTGATGTATTGTCTCGTTAACCATACCTAAAAGTGTATCGATAACCAACCATACACGTTTTCTTACCACATAATTATGTTCCTTTCACCTTGGCCAAGACTTGACATTGTGTCCTATTTTATAATGCATTCAACAATGGACATTACCATTGATAATGGTTCCAAGCGTTTCCATCAGCTGCTTTTATCAATTAGACGCTTGACTTAATCCTACTATTACAAACTTTAACAGTTATATTTAATCTACCTGGTTTCTTATAATGGGAGTATGTACAATGTATACCCTGTAAACAAATCGATGGGCAAGGACAACTTATCCCAAACTCCATATATCGTTATCGGACATATTTAAATCTCCGTATCAAAATAGAGTGTCTGAAAGGAAATAGCAACACAATCGTGCATGGCAATCGTGAGTTGTCTACACATTCCCATACGTTACTGGCGAATGTAGAAAACTTTGAGCTTGACGATTTAAAGCACTCACATTAGCTTCTATATATAAACTTGATTCAAATCACAACAATTATGAAAACGTTATTACAACTTATTTTTCCTTTTACACTCTTGTTGGCCCGGATTTGTCTGCGATGGAGGTGGGGGAATAATGTGGGAGGAAACTGGTGTACTTGAAGTAAACCCATGTGGGCGGGCAGGTCACTCCATACCTTTTTACGTTCGATCGAGGAATCGAACCCCGCCCACCTTAGTAAAAAGCAAGAGCAATATCCACTGTCTTCTTCATTAATATTCGTTTACCGGATTGGCCGTTTCCGGTTGCTACACTCGTACCAAAAGTGTATGCTTGTTACTGCTCAATGATCGCTAGCATGTAACTTAAGAAAAAAATGAAACCCACTTTTCATTGAACAATGTTTATTCATTTCAATACTCGCATGTAATTTCCATCGCTTCATTTGTTTTCAAAAACTCATACCTCCTAAATGATCAAGGTCGTTTATGTCCTGTTAAAAATATCCGGTTATGGAGGTCGCTTATCTCGGTTGAAATTGTTTCATGAATTCTAATTCATATGAATGTTTGTAATTCTTTATGAGATGATATCATCTCAATGCAACATATTTTGAACATGAATGATTTTAATTATTGTAATGCATTTGAAAATAAACAATAGACGTTTGTCAACAGAGTGTAAGCTTATAATATACCAAATAGGATGATGTCCTTAACAGATCTAAATCCAAATTCTCGCGAGATTTAATTGATAGGAGAAATATTCAGGTTGACTGAAACTCTCATGGTAGTAGTGAGGAAACAATTATACTTTAATCAGTTCTGCATTCAGAACAAAAAATGCCAATTTTATCAATGAACATGTCTATCATATACATACAACCCAAATTCAAACAAATATTGTTGTTTAAAATTTTGCATCAATGAATATCCAAAAATATCCTGTCACATGTCTACCGCCTTATATACCTATCAAATCAGACAGAAATTGAACAATTTCTATCAGTGTATCAGTATTTCTGATAAGTGGCATACCCTATATTATTGCAACATGTCACAGTAAAAAAAAAGTCTATGTCAATCAATAAAACAAACTCCTGATTTATTTCAAATACGCATCTGTTGCAACCTTTTTTTGGCAACAGGTAAGACATTTTTTTAAGATTTGCTGATTGACAGGTGAATATGATTCCTGTGCCTCAGGGACCCATCTTTATCATTGAATGCCATGTATTATCGGTCAATTAAAACGGATTATCCTGAACATCAAATCATTTCTTAGTAACATTGAGTCTCACGACTGATACGTGTAGGAAACAAATTTACAAAACATCAACTAAAAAAACGTTATCGCAATCATCACCAACAAAAACAACAGCAATAACAACAACAACAAGGGGCAATCTAGTACTTCAAAATGAAAAGACATTAGTCTTACGTCTTATTACATGTAGCTAACAAACTGAATGGAACAGCTCCCCAGTCAGCCGTCACAATCACTGCGGTCGGAGACAGAATCATTGTTGTGTGTCCCAATATCTCGTACTGTGACCTATGGCAACCGGAGCTTTTGGAGGGTTTCGGCCACGTTGTGAAATAGCTCACCGTCTGCTATTAGAAAGTCAAATACCCTAGCCAAATTCAAGAAGGACATAAAAACTCACCTCTTCACGTCTGCATTTTAGGCTCTTTGCATAGACGTCATGTACATTCCATCTTTTATTTGGTTATCTTCTTGTTTAATGTATAACGGTGATTTTAAGCCTTTTTTTGTTTAACAATTATAACTAATACTATTATAATCCACATCTTGTAAAGCGCTTTAGACTAATTTTATAAATTATATAGGGCACTATATAAATGTTGTATATTATTATTATTATTATTATTACAAGCTAACCGGTAATTAGATTTGTATAAATATATATGTTTTAAATGCCGCCGTGACTATTCTCCATAATTATGTTTATTGAAGATTTAAAAGACAATGTGAATAGGTATACATGTAGCAAACACTAGTGAAAGCAAGTGCTTTCTTTTATAAAAGCACTGGATAAAGTCTTGAGTGTAATCAGCCACACAGAATTCAAAATATAAGAAGTGCATTTTATAAACTGATTTTCTATTCATATAGTAACAGTGATAGAAACCTTATCCCCGGGCCTGGAAAGTTATCCCAAGCAGGCACTTTCTTTCAGGAAGCACTGGATAAAGTCAGAATGTAATCAGCCCAAGATTTTGCGCATTAGTGCATTAAAACAGATTTTCTATTTATAGTGACCCATTGACCTTTGACCACTGGACCTGAAAGGTTATCCCAAGCAGGCACCTTCTTCCAGGAAGGACTA